TGTCGAGCTGGATAAACATTTTATTCGAGATAAGGTTACAAAGGAAAACTTGGTGGTCAACTACATCCTGACGTCTCATCAAATTGCAGACAGTTTTATAAAGCCTCTGTCTGAGGCTTACTTTCATATGTTTAGAGAGAATAAGTGGAGATAATATTATAGTATGAAGGATTTCTGAGGATGTTTTTCTAGAAGGTGATGTACAACTAGAAGTTATAAGGCAGTTATGAGGTTAGGGTAAGTGCATGCGTTGTACTTTAAATATAGGTTAGCTTTCTGTGTATGTATGGTTTTTTATTCAATCAACAATATTTTTTGAGTATATTTCTTGTATATTCAACAAATCAGAATGTCTAAAGTAAGGATTGATCAACATGATAACTAAAATAAATATAATCTAGAAACGCGACATAAGTATATTCCTTATAAAAAAAAGTATGTACTACAAGAACAAACAAGGAACATACTATAAGTGCAAACAAGTATCTATAATTTTCATGCAAAAAAAGTAAAATTTATCTAATTAGAAATATAATTTAAAATATAAGAAAAAAAAGAAGAGATAATAAAAAAGATTTCAATAATAGGTAATCAATTTAAAATTAATAAGATTGTTGATAATATAGATAACACACAAAAAATTAAAAGATTAATATCACAATAGGAAAAAAAGAGTAGGTTTTTAAGTATTGTATGACATTGTAAGAGAATTATTTTTAAACAAATAAAACTTATATTTTAATTTAATTTAAATTTATTAGGACGATTCTTCCACATTTGACTAGCACCACTAAGCGTCACTAATGACGAGCATCTTTAATTTAATTTATAAAAATTTAAAATTTTAAAGGAATCATAATTATAAATTAGTTAAAAATTTAAAGGTAAATTATTTAAAATAAAATATTTATTATGTTATTTTCCATAATATTTTTGGTAAACTATATCAATGATCACCTAATTATTGTCCCTTTTCATTTTGACCATTATTTTTGAAATTTTGTCAACCATGTCATTAAATTATTTAAATGCATTCAATCAAGCCACTTGCTGTTAATAATTAACGGAAGTATTGACATGGCGGTTAATAAAATTTATATAATTACACGTTTAATCCTTATTACTTACACAATCTATCAAATTTGTCATAATTTTAAATTAATTTAATATATTTTATCCTCTAATCATATAACTTCAAAATCTTTTATATTACAATATTAACAAATGATACACATAGAATTATAATTTGATGATTTTATCAAGTCAATTGTCAATTGCCTAATGACTAAATAGATTTTAAAAATTAAAAATTTCATTCAAATAATATCAATTAATTGTTAGAAGTTCAATGATAAAACAAATAATATTTTATTTACTTTTAAAAAAAATTAAAATATATTTTAATAAACATCAAATTTGTAACTCAATCTATATGAGATGTAAAGATATAGATATAAAACAATATTAAATACAAAACATCAAAATAATAGAAAATATTATAAGTATTGTTACTAAAAAAATACCATGTGAAACTTGGTTTCTTGTATACATATCGATAACAACAACTACAAAATCATCTCTAACATGTTTCGTTGTTGATACACCATTTTCTTTTTTTATTTCTCTTATTTATTTTAAATCATAAAATTATAATTCAAAATGTGAAGTTATATGATTTAAGGATAATTTTTTGTGTATCATTTGTTAATATTTCAATATAAAAGATTTAAAGTTATATGATTGGAGGATAAAATATATTGAATTAATTTCAAAATATGACCAATTTGATAGATTGTGTAAATAATAATGACTAAATGTGTAATTATACAAATTTTATTAACTGTCACGTCAACACTTACATTAATTGTTAATGATAAGTGGTTTGATTGAATGCATTTAAATAGTTTAGTGTATTGATTGACAAAATTTCAAAAATGATGGTCAAAATGAAAAAAGACAACAGTTAGTTGATTACTGTTATAGTTTATCTAAAAAAGAAAAAGAAAAATAATATAATTAATATTTAATTTTAACTAATTTACCTTTAAATTTTTATAAATTAAATTAATAATATTTATTAATAGTAATGTTCAACTATGCTCGTCTAGTGTTATAAAATTTTCCATTTTATTAATTAAAATCACTTTCACTTTTTGATAAATTTAATTATTTGGGTGAGTAATAAACATAAAAAGCTGTCATATTGTTTATTGCGTGTACTAATTATTTTTAAACTGAAAATTTTAATTATATTATATATTAAATTAAAATTCACAAGTCATTTCGATATTTAACTTTTATTTTGTATAGCTCAACAACTTTTTAAAACACAACGAAACGGAATAATATGAACCGATGGATTCCCTTGTATATACGACATCAAAATATGGGCTCGCTTCCACTGCAGTGTTGAATTAGGGCAAGTCACCCTCCATGTGCTGAAACGGACGAGTGAAGGTGTGAGATATATACATATATTTAATAGAAATGTTTATTTTATTTTTATATATAAATATTAGAAAGAAATAAATTAATTTATGGTTCCAGTGGGAAGGGATTTGAACAAAGGAGTCATGTTGGGCTCAACCGATGATGGACCACTCTAGATTAAAAAGGGGTTAGGTTACTGTGCTGGTTGCCACTCTCTGTGACCCAACCAAGATATGCAGACCACAAGATTTGACTTTGCTTTCATATCTATAATTTTTATACTATTATAAGTCAGGAAAATTAAAACAAATACCACAACATAAATAAATACACGTCGAATTTTGTAAGCCTTCATGATCAGAAGACGAAAACGGGAAAAAATGGGAATTTGCAAATAATTACCTTGGAACTTCTCCGGTTGGGGTTGTCATTTTAGGCGGGTTTATTATATAAAATTAATATTTAAGTTTAATCATTTTATTTAAGGTAAAATGTAAATTGCTTTCTATCTCATTTTAGGTAGGGAAGCTTGACACACAAGCAAGCGAGGCCAAAAAGTAAAATAAAAACAAAAATCAGTGGTTATTCTCTGGGGTATGAGTAAGAGGTTGAATAATAAAGAGAAGGATCATTTGGGAGCTTGGCGATTAGGAGGAAAATAGGAAGAAACCCACACGAAATCACGGCCCCTGTAATAACAGAGAAAATAGGGTTGTTGAATCACATTTTTCAACCAATGTTGAAATCCCTTGCTGAACGTTCAATGATGGCGAAATAGTTTTACAACACATAATTTCAAATACAAAATTTCGTTGATCATACTTGAGCAACAACTTGCTAGCGTTAAGACAAGGGTCGATGCGCGCAATTTAGTTTAGTACCCATAACCAGTCGTAACCCTAAAAAAAGGAAAGGAATTGGTTAACCAACCATTTGGCAAAACCGAATCGATCAAATTAATTGATTCTGACTTGTAATCAATTGTAAGAACCTGAATTATGCATAGGGTTTCCAGTAGGCAAAGGTTCAGGCTTCTTGATTTCGACAACCGCTGCATCAGAAGTGAGGAATGTCCTTGCAACAGAAGCTGTTGTTGGGAAATAAACGAGTAATTTTCCTATAATCAGATTAGTGAGAATGCGAAATAAAAACAGAATAATAACACCCGAAATTGATAACGAGTTCGACCAATTATGCTTATGTATCCAGACTGCTGCAGATATTTTACTAAAGAGAGAAAATTTACAGGTATTTACAAAACACTCACAAGAGAACTCTCTAAACTCTTTAGTATTGGGAGAAATAAATGATTTGGGATGATTTTGAAGCTAAATGGGTTAGTGTATTTATAGTTGAAGCTTAAGGATTAATCTGATAAATACCCTAAAGTTTAGGGACTAAAATTTGTAATTTTCCCATACATAAATTCAACAAAATCAACTACCTAAATTTTGAATTCCTATAGCCATCGGTTGCCATCTAGAATGTCATGCAAAATTTCAACAATTGTTGACTGCCATCTAAAATGCCATGCAAAATTTCAACAATTGCTACCATGCAATTGTCAACAATCACCTACTTGAAGACTAATTTTAATCTGTCTTTACACCTCCATTAATGCAGCAGCATTTCTGGACTTTTTACTTTAGCATGCCAACTCTCAACGCCTCTTCGATCCTTGGTTCGTCCTCTTCTTTTGACAACTCGATCTTGGGCTCATCCATCACCTTGGATGACTCGACTCCTCTCGGGTAATTTTACAACAGTTCTGGCATCTTAAGTCTGCGCCCACTCGTTTGCTCGACTCTTACCCTCGGCTTAGCATCTTTGACACTCGAACTTGTGCCAAGACTGCACACATCTTCGTCAGCCTCACCATTTGGTTCATCATTGAGTGAATTTTCTCTGCCACTCGAGGAACAACATTCCTCATCCTCTAACTTGCCTTCATCACGGAATCTTTTGCCGCTACCCTCGGCTTTTGGTTTTGCTTTCGAAGTCTTGCTCTTCTTGACTCCAAATTCTTTGATGGACTCAGCGGTTGTCAAGGCTTTAGACAACTACTTGACTTCCCTTCGCTCCAACACTCTCTTCGCCCATGGCTTCAATCCGAACATGAAGGTGAAGAATTCATCTTCTTTAGTCAAACTTGGGACTTTGAGCATGAGTTTTCTGAATCGACTCACATACTCCTTAAGTGTCCCTTTATCCCTGAGACTCATCAACTTGGACCACGCCTCCATCCTGACATACTGTGAGCAGACTTGCTCACATTGCACCCTCGACTTGACAACTTTATCTTTTGCTATCGCACCGGGTCTCTTCTTATGCTCGACTGTTTTGACACCTGCAATCTCGTCACGTTTCGATCCTGGGTTGACTACTTGAGAACTTGTAGTCACACCACTCTTGCTCTTTGATTCGGCTACTTTGGAACATGTAGCCTCACGAAGTCTTTCCCTTGTCTTGATTGCTTGGATACTCGCAATCTCGGCTTTCTTCCGAGTTCAGCTGCTTCAACATGAACAGCCTTGCCTCGTCTCGATCCTTACTTGGCCGCATTGATCCTATCAATCGGGCCAAGTCTTTTTTCCTGGCTTAGTAGCTTTAACACTTGTGACCACGACAATTCCCGTTACTTCTCCTTCTTCCATCCTATTCATGATGGATGTAAGGCGATTCTTATTGGGACATCCTCTAATCAAATGAGAACCATCACAAAAATAGCACTTCAATTTTTCCTTGCTCTCCTTCTTCTTTACATAGGACTTAGCCTTGTCATTCTTTTCTAACGGCTTTCCTTGGCTACGAACAGTCGATGGCTCACCTTGGTCATTCAAAGAGCTTTCTCTACCATATCTCCGTTGCACATTTTCCCAGTCTCCACCACTGTTGCCACTATCTCTGGGCATGGGCCTGGACGACACATCGCTACTTGGCTTGTCACCTACAAGCTCAGTCAGCTTTTCAGCTACAGTTATAGCCTCCAAAAGTCTTTGGGCATCATTTTGCTCTCCTCTGATAATCGCCCCTTGTCTAAGTCCTTCCAAGAAGGTCTTGAGCGCATCTTATTCACTCATTGCTCCCTCGCATATGGGCAACTCCCTCTTGAACTCATCAACTTCGTTTGTCAAAGTCATCGCTCCCACTCGAATATGGATTATTTTGGATCGTTTCTGACAATTCTTGCGAACCACCGTGTATTAGAACACCTCCGTCTACAAACTCGTATCGCCAACCAAATGTTATTATCATAAAATTCACTATTCATGTGAATAATAACCTCGTAGAAAAAACCGACAATATTAACCACCAAAAGCTCTGATACCAGTTGTTGAGAAATAAACGAGTAATTTCCCTATAACCAGATTAGTGGAAATGCGAAATAAAAACAGAATAATAACACCCAAAATTGATAACGAAATTTGACCAATTATAGCTACGTCTCTAGGCTGCTGCAAATCTTTTACTAAAGAGCGAAAATTTACAGGTGTTTACAAAACACTCACAACTCACAAGAGAACTTTGTACACTCTTTAGTATTGGGAGAAAGAAATTATTTGGGATGATTTTAAAGCTAAATAGGTTAGAGTATTTATAGTTGAAGTTTAAGGACTAATCTTATAAATACCCTAAAGTCTAGGGACTAAAATTTATAATTTTCCCATGCCTAAATTCAACAAAATCAACTATTTAAATTTTGAATTCCTATAACCACCGGCTGCCATCTAGAATGCCATGCAAAATTTCAATAATTGATGGCTGCCATCTATAATGCCATGCAAAATTTCAACAATTGCTACCATGCAATTGTCAATAACTGCATGCTCCAAACATCTTACCACCTATGTTTTCAGAAAACCATAAAATTACTTGATAATCATGAAACGTAATGTTCGACTTGACAAAACCATATTTCTTTTCATAGCCTCTGCATGAACCAGGGAGCTCTCGGCACTCGTGTCAGTAAATCAGCCTCCTCTTCCTTCTTGAAATGAGAAAAATGGAAGAAAATTCTCATGCATAAGAGAAACTTTTGTAGGATCAATAATACCGACTGCTATCAGATCCTCATAGTTTCCAGTTGCAGCATTATAACCATAGTTAGTGTTGCTATTTGACATTACCTGATGATAAAAAATGGATTATGGATAAACAAAATGAGAGCTAAAAACCACTGTATCAAGCTATATATGATCAAATATGATCCATCACGATACCTTTTCGATGACAACACTCCCGTTAACCCCAACATTCTTGGCAATCAACTTCATTAAATAGCTCAATGCCCTTTTAACAATATCTGCTCCAACCTGCAAACAATTACTAGGTCAGTTGAAACTCGAAAGGCTTAATTTCATATATTAAATCCACAGTCCAACAGACAAATTAAAATCATGGCCTTCTGTTCATCATTCTCGAGAGTCTCTTTTGCAGCATCAACTTTTGTTGCAAGTCTCAATAAGGTGTAACCTCCCCCAACTACAACGCCTTCTTCAACTACTGCTTGAAAATAATTAATAATTACAAAATTAAGTTTAAGCCTGGGAACAAGTGTTAGGGAATAGAAGTTTGAAGTTCGACATCTTCAGCAACTTCCATCAGAAGTTTCAAGCGAAATACCTTTATTGCATTAGAGCATCTTCCACTCTCAATTTCTTTTCTTTTAGTTCGGTTTCTGTTTGTGCTCCAACCTTGAAACACAAATAATTAATTGAACATAAAAACAAAGATAACATACCACATATATTTAAATAAATCATCAACAATGAATCATGCAAGGCCAAGGCTTACTTGAATGACAATAACACCACTTGAGAGTTTTGTAGTTCTCTCACTGAGCTTTTCTTTTTCATATTCCTGATATGTTTTCTGTATATGTAATGCACTCAACACTTGAGTAAAAATGACAAAGGTGCACAGGAGGAAAGGGGGTGGTCCAAGTTCAAATCACCTTAACAAGGTTCTTGATCTGGGAAACTCTCTTATTCACAGCTTCATGTGTGCTTCCATCACCAACAATTGTAGCAGTCTTCTTAGCGAGCACCACTTTTGCAGCATGCCCTAAGACCTCCTTCTCAGCTTTGTCCAAATATAACCCAACCGCATCTCTAATCACAGTGCCTAAATATATAATACAATAAGTTCTAACAAGAGAACAATGAAGATATCTGACTTATGGTTTTAATAAGATGCTGCACAAACCTCCAATGAGTATTGCAATATCATCAAGATATTGACTTTTGCGCTCTCCAAAACCAGGGACTTTCATTGCAACAATCTTTAATGGCCCTCTGAGCTTGTTTACAACAAGAGTAGCAAGAGCTTCCTGTTCAATGTCTTCTGCAATTATTATAATAGGGTACCCCCTTTAATAGCATCTTCCAAAACATGGATCTCTTGCATTTGTTATCTTTTTGTCAACTAGGAGTAACTGCATAAAACAACTTTAAGAAGTCAGAGACCTTGCAAAATAGAATCCTGAGGGATCCACCTGCAGAAAAGAACTTGATTTGGAATTGATCCATAACACTTGCCAAGTACCTTACAATTTTCATATTCAACAACCATTTTCTCATTGTCGGTAACAAAGTAAGGAGAGATATAACCACGGTCAAATTGCATCCCTCCAACAACATACAAGTTGTTTTCCGAACTGTTACTTTCCTCAAGAGTCACTATGCCTTTTCTTCCCACTTTTCCCATAGCTTCATCAATCATATTGCCTACTTCATAGTTGTTTCCTGCACTAACAGCAGCCACATCTGCCAGTTTACTGTCTTCAACCTGCAGACCAAAACAAATGATAAAATTTGCCTCCCAGATAGAGATCAAGAAAATTTCTAATGTTATAACTCCGTTTAGAATGTAAAATTAGGTTCAAAATATGTGAATCATGGTAGAAAGGAACATCCCGGTTTACCTCTTTGGACATCGATTTGAGGTCAGACACCAGGGCCTTAGTAGTTGTTTCAATTCCTCTTGCTATTTGAATAGGATTTGCGCCAGCAGCAACCACCTGGAGAGAATAACCAAAAACCAGAAACCAATGTAGCAATAGAAAGGAAAGGTAATTTCCAATGAGATGATTGCTAGAAAGATCTCACAAACCTTTACACCTTCCGTTATCAAACCTTGGGCAAGAAAAACCGATGTGGTTGTTCCATCACCAGCGAAATCATTGGTCTTTGAAGCAGCCTGCCTCACCAATATAGTACCAATGTTCTCTACAGGATCCTCCAACTCAACCTATGAGCATGACATGAAAAATCATGAATAGAAAAAGAATGGGAGAATATTCCAGTTAAACTCAGCAGAAAAGAACCCATGTTAAATCATTAATCTTTAAAAAAGAATTCAGAACATTGATAAATGCAATCAAAATAGGAAATACCAACAATTGATTACTATTTGTTGTATCAAACATACCTTCTTAGCAACAGTTACACCTGCATTAACAATTTTTGGGGAGCCATACTTGCTCTCTAAAACTACATTTCTTCCTTTCGGGCCAAGAGTAACACCAACTAGGTCTGCAAGTTTGTTAACGCCCGTCTGAAACGGAAAAGAAATAAGCATGCATCAAAAAAAAAATTGCCAAAGGGTATCATACTAAACAAATCATTCACTGAAACTTACTTGTAGCTTCTTGATAGCAGAACCATCCGTGTTAAAATGCAACTCCTTTGCCATAGCCCGAATTTTGGACGATTGTCCTCTCCGAAAATCACCTTCTTTTTCTTGCCTAGAAAGGCACTTGATGGTATGAAATCAAACGATGACAGTCGGACTGAAGAATTCAAAAACTTTTTATCCATTTTGTTACTACTAGGAAATCCAAGAGAAGCTACTAATGACATAGCAACGAAAGATGATGTCATTTTCCTTCAAGAACCTGAAACATTATATCAAACACAGGACACATAAATCCAATTAGTGGCCACTAAAATAGATAAAGTTAAAGAAGAGTGTTTTATTGCGTAAAGTTCCACATTCTTACTGACTAATAATAGTCAGTAGAAATAATAATAATAATAACTCTGAATCTTTAGCCGTCATATCTTGCAAGGGTTTCAAACTCTTTATTGAATCAAGTAGCGCGGGGTTCCATTGTGTAGTGATTAGCACTCTGGACTTTGAACCCAGCAACCTGGGTTTGACTCCCGGTGGGACCTTTTAATTTTTATAATTCATCCCCCCCTCCAAAAAAAAAAAGCAATTCATTTATCGACCGTACAAACAAAAACCCAGAGAGCTACAATAAAAGCTTGTGCTGGCTAAAATGTAAGCTCCATCACTGATAAAACCAGTAAGAAACACAAAGGGAACGGAGGTTGGTAGTCTGATACTACTGGCTTCTAAAAGTGTTTTTAGGATAAGTAAGAAGATTCCAGAGACTCGTTATAGTAAATATATCAGCTTGGGGAACTTCACCGAGGGTGATAACATTTTATTATAGGCAGTGGGTTTTTTAACATGTGAGTCACAGTGTACAGTTTTTCAGCCTAGTCCTCATTTTTCTAATGAATCTCAACCGTTGATCGCGCTGACTCAAATTAGCATGCTCATTACATTTACAGCGCACTAGCGCGGGGCAGGTTCCCCTTGAATTATCACAACTAAATCAAGGTAAACTATGCCAATAGTCACTCATATTTGGGTTAATATTCGTTAATAAAGGTGACAGAATATATAATTGGACCGTTTAAAATTTATTTGAACTGGGTTGACCACCACATGGAGAGTTAAATATCTTTAAAGATAGGGCGAGGATTAGAGTCAACTTTGATTCTTCTCTTGGGTTCATCTCCACCGTCCTTTGGTTTGACCACCGGTTACTTCCTCTTATTCGGTAACCATTTAAAAGCAATAGGAGAAGAAAGGAAGACTGCTTGACCTAAAAAACTTCATGAAGAAAGGAAGACTCAAAGCCGCAAACATTATGAATAAAGCAATAGCAAAAACAATACTAGAATATATGTTGAAAGGAAGACTCAAAGCCGCAAACATTATGAATAAAGCAATAGCAAAAACAATACTAGAATATATGTTGAAAGCTTGAGCCATTTTAGGCAAGTAATCTTCACTCGCTTTACCATTGGTTCGTGCTTCATCTTCTTCCTCTTTCTCACCTTCTACATCGGTGAAAGAATATATGTTGGCGAAAGATTTTAAGCTCGAGAATTGAAGATAAGACTTGGTTTGAATTTGGAAAGTCCTGAACACAAGCTCCCATTTCTTAGGTAGTTTGGTTTCGTGGTAATGGTGTTTGGGAGCATGTAAATGAAGATTCCTAAGAAGAAATACTTGACGGGCACTGGTGTTTCTTGCCTCTTCTCCGGTAACTATTTGATGAAATTCGTGTTACACACCCAAGCCCTCTTGGATACTTCCGTTGTTGAACCCATAGGTTGTTTAACTTTCTCCTTTCACTGTTAAACTCATCAATCAAATTAAACCCGAAGAATAAAACAAAGAAAGTTGTTGTGTTCGTTGAGATAATTAACAAGAAATTGTAGATTGGGCTTCAAGGAAAGCCTTGTAAAGTGAAAGGATCAATAAACACAGATAAGATTTCTTCAAGATTCTCTCATGGAGAAACACAGTTCGATAATGGAGGCTTTGGCAATGAGGAAGAAGAATAAGGTGAAAGAAAGTACGAAAACGGAAAAACAAATGATTTGGGAAGAATAATAAGCTATATTGATGAGTGTTAAAAGGTAATAGAAACTCACAAAGGGAATCTCCAACATGAAACCTTTTACTGCTGGTCCACTGCCTATACACATCAGGGTTGTCAGCACTGGGCTGCTGCCAACCTATATGATCTCCCACTTTGAACTGCTTGGAAGCTTCAACCCAGCCATCCATGGCAGCTGCTACAATGAAAAAACAAGTGTAATGGATCAAACCCCTTGAATGTTCCATGTTTAATCACTCGTCGATTTGTTCTTGTTTCTATAAACAAGAGATGGGCGAGCGTGGGAGGGGCGGTTATGCAGCAACGTACGTTGTTTGCGGGGTATTTTTTTTCTTCTGCGACCAGAGGCCCGGTCCAAGAGTTTTTCATGATAGACATGGATCTTGTTGCTTGTTTGGGCTTGTTCGAGTTTGAAACTATAATGATTTCTTCCTCCAGACCCAACTTCAACCGAGGATTTAATAACACTAAAATAGATTATTGCATTTTTTTTATTGTACAACTATTAGGACGAAAAAGCTAATTCAAATTACTTTATGGAAAATTACACGTTTAGTATCCAACTATCACTTTTGCTCTAATTTGGTCACCTGAATATTATTTTTTTTAAACATATTTAACGTTACGTTTCCATTTTATTTTGGTGACTCGTTAGCATCACCCTTAATTTAAAAAAAATAATGATGACATGAAATTACTTTAAAATCATATTTAAAATCAACATAACTGATGGAAAAATTCAATGATGACATGGAATTACTTTATAGTGACTTATCAGCATCATCATTGATTTTTTTAACGATGAACGACTAAAATAAAATCAAAATATAACATTATATATAATTTTTAAGTAAAAAATAGTTTGATGACCAAAACAAAACAAATGTGATAGTTGGGTACTAAATGTTAGTTTACCCAATAATTTATTTGAAACATATGATCCAAAATAGATACATCGAATCAAACAAATAATATATTCATTAATAGATACCTAATATTTTTGTTGAAAAAAATCATAATTTACCCAATATTTTCGTAAGAGCGTAATATAGTAATACTAAATGGTCACTTGTTAACTTTTTATATAGTATATTTTTATATTACGATAATAAGACACAAATATAAATCTAAAATAAATATTTGAGCATATTATAAAATTAATTATTACAAAATATTAAATTAATGATTAAAATATATTTAAAGGGAATCTACATATAAGAAAATAAAAAAAACGCATCTTATTTTTTCTAACAATATTAACTGGATTTCATTAATAAAAAAAGAATCAAAATTACAACGCATCAAAATATAAAGAATAATTTTGAGACAATAATCACCAAAATAATCATACAAAAGTAAAATATTAAACCTAAAGATATGAAGAAATACAAAATTTCCATTTAGAATGACGACCAAATCAAAACTCAATAACCTTAATAAGAACTCATTGTCTCTGTCGAATGAGACACTTTACGAAGTGATAAAAGAGTGGAGAACGACCCTAACAATCTGGCAGGCTGCTTTGCTACATAATTATGATTACATCGGCAAACAACTTTTTACCAAAAGAGAGGATCTGGCTATATGTGACCACCGATAAATCAATCAGAAAAAAATATTGTGATGATTTTTGTGCGATAACCAAAACGACCGAAAAAAGTATGCGAAAAAAAAGTACCTAAAACCATAAGAATCGTGCTACAATAGCAAATAAAGCATGTACTACAATGGGGATTAGGGATTAGGGTTTAGGGTTTAGGCAAATAAAGAATCCACTTGGGGATTAGGCTAGGCACGTGTTTATCCTGAAATTTGAATTTTCTTCAATTAGGCATCTATTTTATTGATAGTGTCCACCTTAAAATTTTGTCGTGCCCACTTTGAGATCTGAATTTTCTTCGATTAGTGACCTATTTTATTGATGTTATCCACTCTAAAATTTTATTTATATCTATCTCATTTAAAAAATTTATACCGTTAACATACACATGCTCCTAACCAATACCAATGGAGACAAGTTGAAGTATAGGCAAAGGTAACCTGTGGGGCATTTTTAAGTACTTGAAATAATATATACTATGAATTATGACACTCTCTTCATTATTGGGAATGACTTCTCTATCATTACTGCTGTTACCGTCTGTATGAAACTAATCCTCCTACGTTCTGAGCAAGAAATATACACGCATTTACCCGACCGTGGGAAATCAAATTTATCTCGACGCCTTTATTATTAGGTATATTACGTTATTGGTTACTAAAGTTTCTTTTTACTACTAAAATAAAAAAATTAACATAACAATTGTTTAACCGTGGATATCCCTTACACGAGTAAGAGAGTTGTTTTTGACTGATGAATGATATGATACATTTAATAAATTAAGATACTCTAATGAGATGATAATATGTATCTTCTGATTGATGAGAAAAATATTTAAAAATATAAAACGTGATGTACGAGGTTTTAAAGTCGACCTCTTGAGAGGGGAAGCAACACCCATCCATTGGATCAAGCTCGAGACTTAGTAGAACCAATTAAGTTGTCTCGATGATAAAAGTCTTCTTACCTAATTTAAATTTGAACAGTTGTGTATGCAGAACATGTATTATTAATAGAAAAATAATAATTAATATTATGTTGTAATAACCCTAAACTATTTTAAAAAAACTTAAAACTTGGTAAATTGTTATTAAATTAAATGTAAAATAACGTTTGAATGACTGTTTTATTATAAATTAAAAATATTAATTAATATTTATAACTTTTAAAACTTTAATAACAAAAAGTAAAACCCTGTCCTGTAACATCCGCAATACCGGGTTAGTGACCAAATTGTAAAGTTTCAGAATTTGGTGACTAAAGTAGAAGAATGAAAGAATTCAATGATTATTTGAATATATATATATTGAAGGTTATTTGGTATTTATTAAAGGAAATTAAGGGTATTATGGTCATTTGACCAGAAAGATTTTTTATAATTTTTTTTAAAAG